CAGTAATGGGCTGTAAATAGGAGATCTACTAGGCTGTAAATAGCTGTAGATTAGTTTCCATAACTAGCTAATTAGTTTTCCTTTTCTGTAGGATTTGACGGAGTAAATCAAGGAATTACCAGCTGTTGGTAATCTCCTCTTCTGTATAAATGTATGTTTCGGCTGATGAAATAAACTAAGAAAAATTCTCTCTGTTTTTCTTCACTATCAATATGGCAATTTTCTCGGCATGAGATTTCTTGACAAACAGAGTATGTTCAGACTGACCCTGTACATAGCCAAGCTTCAAGACTGCCTTTGTGAATCTGTCAAACTAGGCTCGGGGAGATTGTTTAAGGCCATACAAGGACTTTCGGAGTTTGCAAACCTGATTCTTTGTCATACTTCCTTCGAAGCTAGGTGGAATTTCCATGTAGACCTCTTCTTCTAGGTCACCATTTAGGAAGGCATTTTTTATGTCCAGTTGTTGCAAACACCAATCTTGGTTGACTGCCAATGAAAGAAGAATTCTGATAGTGTTAAGTTTTGCAACAGGAGCAAAAGTCTCTTGATAGTCTATCCCATAGGATTGTGTAAATCCTCTAGCTGCCAACCGAGCCTTGAATCTCTCGATTGATCCATCTGCCTTGTACTTTATAGTGAAAATCCACTTGCACCCCACAGGCCTTTTCCCACCTGGTAAATCCGTGATAGTCCATGTCCCATTCTTCTCAAGTGCATCAATCTCATCTTCTACTGCCTTCTTCAGAATTTTGTAATGCCTCTTGTATTGTGCTGGGAATCTGAGTATCATCAAGAGAAGTAGCAAATGCTCTGTAAGATGGTGATAGCCCTTCATACGTGACATAATTCCCAATTGGATGATTTGTACATCTCCTAACACCCTTCCTCAATGCAATCGGCAAGGTAGAGTCATCAACGCTGGGAGTTGACACATCTCCCTCCCTATCCGTACCCATGTTTTCTTCAGGTGGACTTGGAATTGAGTCAATATATTGGCCACATGTTGGTTGTGATCCGTGCTCTAGCTCCTGTCTTTTCTTCCTCCTAATAATGTAGACTTGTAAATTCTCATTAGCAAGTTGTGGGGCTACAGATTGAACAGGCACGGGAGAAGACACATTTGTGGGCTGTACGGGAGATGGAGCATTTGTGGGCTGGACGGGAGATGGAACATTTGTGTTTGTGGGCTGGACGAGAGATGGAACATTTGTGTTTGTGGGCTGGACTGATAACGGCACAGGTGTGGATGAGTCAATGGGCACGGTTTGAGAAGGCCGTGGTGACTCTGAGTGAGACGAGGGTACTGACTCAAGAAGAGACTCCCAAACTTGATGTTCATTCATGCTCTCCCCCTGAACACGAGATTTGGGATAGAAGAACACGTGTTCAAAGAAAGAAACATCCATGGTGGTGTAAAATCTTTTGCTTATTGGAGAATAACATTTGTACCCTTTTTGGGTTGGAGAGTACCCTAGGAAAATGCACTTATTGGCTCTAGGATCAAATTTGCTACGGTGTTGAGGATACACATGAACGAATGCTGTGCAACCAAATACTTTGGGTGGTAAATCAGATGAAACTGCACGAGTGTGAGGAAAATTTTCCAAAAGAAGCTGACGTGGAGATTGAAAGGTAAGGACTCTGGATGGCATGCGGTTAATCAAATAGGTAGTTGTGAGAATGGCTTCCCCCCAAAAATAGTTAGGAACATTAGACAAAAACATAAGACACCGGGCAACCTCCAAGAGATGTCTATTCTTGTGTTCAGCCACCCCGTTTTGTTGTGGGGTGTCAACACAAGAACTTAAGTGGATAATCCCGTGGTTCTGAAGGTAGGTATTGAGACTACTAGTAAAGTATTCCCTAGCATTGTCTGATTTGAGTACCTGAATTCTAGAATTGAATTGATTTTGAACCATAAGATTGAAGGTGTGAAAAATTTGTCCAACTTCTGACTTTTCTTTCATAAGATAAACCCAAGTTACCCGTGTATGATCATCAACAAAGGTCACAAACCATCGAGTTCCAGAAACATTTTTTATACGTGAGGGTCCCCACACATCACTATGGATCAAAGAAAAAACAGTTGAAGGTTTGTATGGGATTTGAGGATATACTGTTCGAGTATGCTTTGCAATCTGACAAATTTCACAATGAAAAGATGCTGGATTTTTATTGATAAATAATTTGGGAAACAGTTTTGCAAGATACACAAAGCTAGGATGACCAAGACGATAGTGTAACAATATAATTTCACTATCTTTATTGACATTGGAATTTGACACAGAATTAAAAGACCCTAACAGACTCTGAGACTGGACACAACTTGCTTGAGAGACTTGGTTTGAGGATTAGTCACATGAGAGGAGATAGAGCCCGGAGCACAGTTCAACACTGCCAATCATCTTCCCCGATTTCAAGTCCTGAAAAATACACAAGTTTGGATAAAATTTAGTAACACAGTGAAGGTCACAAGCCAATTTACTAATGGACAAAAGATTACAATCCAAGTTTGGAACATGGAGGATAGAGTCGAGATACAACTCTTTAGTAAGTTTGATGGAACCTGTCCCAGTGATTTTTGAATTTGAACCATCAGCTAATCAGCTATATGGACGGACGAGGGACCACTACTTGGCTTGTAATTTTGGAGAAGGGCAGCATCTCCTGTCATGTGATCAGAAGCGTCTGTGTCTACTATCCATGGCCTCATTCCTCCGTTGTTAGCAGTGAAGGCTGTATGCGGATTGGTTTGAGCAACCAAACCAGCCCCAATAATGCTGCCACTGCCGACTTGACTAAACAGTTTCTGCAGTACATCCATCTGTTCTTTGTTGAATGGGCTAGGCTCGGGAACAGGAGCACTATCGGAATTGGAGGCCACATGTGCTTTGCTGTCTCTATCAAACCATGGCTTTGGTTTCCAATCTGCTGGTTTGCCGTGGAGCTTCTAGCAAGCCTCCTTGTAATGGCCTAGTTTCTTACAGTAATCACACCAAGGCCTTTCCCGTTTTTGACGATCTCCGCCATTATTGTTGAATGACCGAATAGCAAGGGCAGAGGCATCTAACGGTGAGGCATGTTGTTCCTTAGATCCCATCATCACTTTCTTTCTACTTTCTTCACGCCTAACCTCGGAGAAGGCCTCCCTGAGACTGGGCAGTGGTTTAGTGCCCATGATTCGACCTCGAACATCATCCAACTCCCTGTTAAGTCCTAGGAAAAACTTGAACAGCCTTTTTTGTTCCACAACCTGCTTGTACGTTGCTACGTCGTCCGGACATTTCCATGAGTGAGTCTCGAATAAGTCAAGTTGCTGCCAATACCGTATGAGTGTGTTGTAATACTGAGTGACGGACTGCTCTCCTTGGCGGAAGTCATGAAGGGCTGATTCTACCTGAAATAGTTCTGAAGTATTTTCAGAACTGGAGTAAGTTTCTTTGGCTGCATCCCATATTTCTTTTGCAGTTCCAAACAGCAAGAAATTTTCACCTATGTCATTGTTCATGGAATTGATAAGCCATGACATGATCATACTATTTTCTATCTTCCACTTCTTGAAACCTGAATCTGTAGTCTTTGGCATGGTTGCTTCTCCTGTGAGATATTCATCTTTTCCCTTGCCACAGATGAACAGCAACACAGATTGCGACCACTGTAAGTAATTATGGCCATTTAATTTGTGTCCTGTGATGAGAATAGGAGAAGATTCGCTGCCGCCAAGGTTTGGAATCTCTGATCTGCCTCCTGATTCTGGGGTCGTGACACTGGATGTTTGTGATGATGCCATTCCGTATTTTGTCATGTCTCAAATATTGCAGAAAAGATGAGAGGAAAGACTGAATATGGTTGCTGGAAATATATAAGAGAAGACCGGAGATAATTGGCCTGAGAACAACGAAGAAGTGGCCAGAAAACTTGGCGAGAGGTGGCCGGAATAAGAGATGGCCAGAGAGAGATGGCCGTAATGAGAGATGGTCAGAGAGAGATGGCCGGAATGAGTGATGGCCGAAGTGAGAGATGGCCGGAAGGGATTAGGGTTCAGAAAACTGGCTCTGATACCATGAAGAATTTCTGAACTTCTATTATTAATATTTCCGTAACCCTACAATAGCATATATATACACAAATGACTAATAAGGAAATAACTAACTAGCTTGATTCTCTCCTAAAAATCAGGAAACAAAATTATGAGAAAAGATCACAACCGATCTCTCCTCTTATTCCTAAAATACTTTCCTAAACTAACTTCCCTAAATTTTGACTTCCGAATTCAACACTAATTCATAATTAGCATGTGATTTTCCTGTTGGAGATTAGATTTAGGTAGCTGATGTATATAGATTTTTTCTTTGCCAGAGTGGTTTGGTATCGTGTTATCTTTGCCTTAATTTGTGATTTCATAATTAGCATGTCCATAAAAGATTGTTTCTTGATATTGGTTGCTTATCTGCAGAAAGTTTGCCTTAGTTATAGATGTGCTGACATGGATCGGGAAATTCCTGCTCTGATGGGTGTCTCCAAGGCAATTCTGGAAAATGTTATATTTGTACACCAAGATGAAGCCAATTGGCCATTGCAAGATTCTTCCACTTTAAAGAAAAAGTTTGATGACATCTTCTCTGCTACCCGGTACTCACTTATTTTGTCACTTGTTCTGCCTTGTACTAAGTACTAACATTGCTAATAATTGAAGTGATTCTTGAAAGCTTGAAAGTAACTTTATAGCTTGTTCATATCTTTCCCCAATCTTGTCATCCATGCGCCTATAATTGAACTTGTAACTATTATGCATGTCAACATCTTTGTGAGGGTATAAAGATAAAATTAGTCAAACATGAAAAACTTTACTTATATAATTTTTTACCTATGCACTTCCGTTCTTTTTAATAGACAAGTATCCATTCAAAACACTTAAAGAATTCCTTATGCTAAATATTTTTATTTCGTAACAATAAGCCAATTCATACTTTTATCCCAAAATTAATTTAAGCTACTGTCACTTTTTATAGATTTGTCCTGGGTGTTTTGTTTTTGGTTTACTTATATGCTGCTGGTCCTGTATAGTGGGAGCTTGGTTCTGTTGAGGATAACTCTTCCTCTTCTCTCCTAGTTCTCTTTTGTTAATTTATTAATAAAGTCTCGTTTCTTTTTAAAAAAAAAAAAAAAAATTTAAGCTACTGAAAATGTTTTTCTCTTCATTCAGTATGCCAATTACTGAAATTTCAGTATCGTATTGTGTACAAATGTCATTTCAGTGCCTTCAGCAGTTTGTTGTTGAAGAGCATGGCAAATCTGAAACAATCTTCATTTATTCATAATTCTTCTTCGCACTTCTTCTACTGTGTTTTTGAAGTATTTGGTGCATTGGGTTTTGTTCTATACATTATTTTGACGTTTCAAGCTTTTTAAACATGCAACTTTTGTACAATTAATCAGATATACAAAGGCGTTGGAAGTTATAAAGAAACTTCACAAAGATCAAGCTCAAGAGATAAAGACCTACAAGCTGAAATTGGAGAATCTTCAGACGCTGAAAGATGCTGCATTTAAGGTCTTTGTTTTTCCCACTTATTTCATGTCTTCCTCTTCCTTTTCTTTTGTTTTTTTTAAAAAGAAAAAGAAAAAGAAAAGAGCCTTTTCTGGCATGTTCTAAGTGATCTCAATCCTAATGAAAGCAAGTGTATTAAATTTGCAAGAGTTTTTTCTTCAGATTTTTCATTGATGGACTCAGTTTCATGCAGAAGCTCTTGTATTAAAAAAAAAAAGGGAAAAACAAACAAAAAAAGAAGGTTTCATGTGGAAGAACTTTGAACTCAAAAGAATAATTATTGTTGTTTTTTAATCTCAAAGTGATTTTTTAAGAACTCCATGTTCGTCATGGTAGGAATATAGGTACCTTAATTATTTTTTTATTTTTTGATAAGAAAAAACCTTTTATTGATAATCATCGCTATAATCATCAAATACAAGGAAAGAGGATGAGAAATCCTCAGAGCAAAATAAAAAATTAGTAGATCTAAGAATACAACACTGTAACATCAAAGAGTCTAAAGAAATCTTCCTATAACATCCTGCCAATTCATGGTTATCAGTGATAAAGGGAACTCCTTGAAAGTCTTATCTGTTGAAGCCCATAAAGAAGCTAAAAATTTCGCCCTTTTGAAAATATCTGTTAACTCCATCTCCTTTCTTTCAAACAATCTAGCGTTTCTCTCCATCCATATGGACCACAAAAGAGAGAGCACCATACATCTCCAAAGAACTCTGGCCATTTTATTGGAACCAAGCCCCACCGTATGTTCCACCAGCAATGATCTGCAATGTTCTGGAAACACCCAAATGAACCCAGCTTCATTCAAAAGCTTCTTCCATAGAGCACTTGCCACCTTACAATGAAGAAGCAAGTGATCAATGATTCACTGTTCTTTTTGCAAAGAATACACCAAGAAGGGAATATTGTCAAGTAGGGGCTCCTCCTTTGGATTACATCACAAGTATTTATTTTACCATGAAAAACCAGCCATGCAAAAACTTTAATCCTATAGGGGATACTAGACTTCCAAATGAAACTATAGGCCTTGAAATTTTGGAAATCAATTCCATCAACTAGAGAAGTAAAATAAGATTTGCATGAGAATCCCTTTGAATCACTCACCCACACCCGCCTATACGGAATAGATAAGTTTAAGTGAAAAATCATTGAGTACTTGAATTAAAGTTCTCAATTCCTCGACCTCCCTATCATTAAGACCTCCCCTAAAATTAAAATCCCAATTTTGGTTACTAGAAGAAAAAATATCAGCAACAAGTGCATTCGGGCCAGCCGAGAGTCGAAAAAGCCTAGGAAAAGCTGACTCAAAAGATGATTACCCACACCACACGTCTTTCCAAAACAAAACCCTATTACCTGACCCCACTTTCCATATTATTTCTATAACACTTTGAAATATTCCTTTGAAAGTGCAAATGCTTATTAGCTTTGTTTGTAGTTGACATATTCAGGAATAAATATGGCTAACGTTCCTTTGATTTCTTTACTTCCTGTCGTTTCATTCTTTAGAGAAGCCCATTAACGATCTAGTCTATTACATGTTTTCCTTACCAAATCTTCTGTTATATCACATGCAGGTAATTTTCTCTTGATAGACAGACATCATCTTAGAGATGTTCCATTAGCTAATTTCCTTTTATTTTATTATTATTTTTTTGATAAGAAACGAAAAATTTTTGTGGAAAAAACAGAGTGATTGGAGAGGAATCCGGTTGCTTTCCTTCTCTGATTATGTGTAAATTAGTTTCGTGATTTCTAGAATTATATTAGGTGTGTTTCTAGGGTAATTATAAGTATGTTTCTCTTTTATTTTAGGAAAGAATCACCGGGATTTCTCCTTGAGTGATTAGGGTCTTTGATTCTTCTCTATTTAAAGAGAAAAGAATGATAGTAAAAAGTGTCATATGAAATAAAACAATTTCATCTTTTCTCCCAAATACCTTTATGGTATCAGAGCAGGAATAATCCCTTATTCCTTATGGCGAAAACTGCCATGACAGGGGCTTCTTGTGAAGCCACCTCCGATGCAGCCAGCGAGCACATCTCGCCAACAACTCAGAATTCCCAAGGAGGATCACAGCAAATCATCAATGTCATTGATAGTCACTCACTGCAGATCACGCAACATAAGTTAAACGTAGCCAATTATGTTGAATGGTCCCAATCAGTCATCCTTGTTATTGATGAAAAAGGACGGCTAGATTACTTGACCGGAGAAGCAAAACCACCTGAAACTGGGACACCGGCATACAAGAAGTGGAAATTGGAGGACTCAATGGTGAAGGCGTGGTTGTTAAACTCAATGGTACCTGCAATTAGCCGAGTCTATCTTTACTACAAGACAGTGAATGCAATTTGGGAGATGGTAGAGATGTATTCGGATCTTGGGAATTCAGCCCAAATCTTTGAAATGAAGTCAGCCGTAAGAGAAAAAAGGCAAGGTAATCTTAGTGTCACCGAATACTATAATGAATTACAAGTATTGTGGCAGGAATTGGATTTGTATCAGGATTTCAATTGGAGCTGCTCCACCGATAGTGCAAAATTCCAGAAGATGCTCGACAAGTTTTTGACTTCCTACTCGGACTCAACAAGGAACTAGATGAAGTTTGTGGACGCGTGTTTGGTTTCAAACCATTCCCTGAAATTAAGGAGGCCTTTGCAGAAGTGAGGCGTGAAGAAGCACGACAAAGAGTGATACTCGGCCGAAAGGAGAAAAACGTGTAGCCTATTATAGAACCTCCACACCAAGAGTCAGCATTAGTTGTTAGAAAAAATCCTAGTTCCAGTGGAGATGGCCAAAATCAGAGGAGAAATGATAGACCATGGTGTGATCACTGCAAACGTAATGGACACACAAAGGACACATGCTGGGAGATTCATGGGAAGCCGCCAGACTGGAAACCAGCAAAAGAACGCTGGCGCCAGCGACAACCTGGTGAAGGCCGAGGCTTTGCAACCTCATCTGGAGGAAGTGATAAGGTTGCAGAAAGCAGCACTGGTTCGGCATTCAGCAAGGAGCAGTTAGAGCAACTTCAAATGCTCTTATCAAAGCGAGCACCGGCAACAACATCTTCCACAGGGCCAACAGCAGCAGTAGCACAAAAAAGTAATTTTCTCTCCGCTCTAACAACCAAAACTACGTGTAAAGATGTTTGGATTGTTGATTCGGGAGCTTTAGATCACATGACCAATTGTCGGAGTCTTTTCTCAGAGTTCAATACTAGTAACGATGGTCTAAAGATTAAAATTGCTGATGGCTCATTAGCATCCGTAACAGGAAACAGTGAGAATATCAGATTATATAACATTGCATTCTGTGTTATATATTCCACCATTGCCTGTAATCTTTTGTCTATTGCAAAGTTAACAAGAGATATGAATTGCTCTGCTAAGTTCTCTCATTCTTTGTGAGTTTCAGGATTTACTTTCGGGGAGGACGATTGGTAATGCTAAGGAATGTGATGGGCTATACCTATTCGAAGGTTCACTTTCCAAGAATAAACAAGTTCAAGCTTTGAGTTGTAATTCTGCTTCTGTTTCCAATGAAATTATGTTATGGCACAATAGACTTGGTCATCCTAGTATTCTATATCTAAAAAAGTTGTTTCCTTCATTGTTTGTCAATAAAGATGTTCACTCGTTTGTCTGTGAAACATGTCAGTTTGCAAAACATACCCGTGTTCCCTATCCCTTACAAATTTATAAAATCTCTAAACCTTTTTCACTCATTCATAGTGATGTTTGGGGGCCTTCAAGAATAAGTAATATATATGGTGCACGTTGGTTTATAACCTTTATTGACGATCACACTCGAGTTTGTTGGGTATTCCATTTGAAAGAAAAGTCAAATGCCGCACTGATTTTCCGACAATTTCATAAAATGGTGGAAACCCAGTTTCAGACAAAAATCCAAATTCTTCGTACAGATAATGGACGAGAATACTTTAATAATACTTTCGGTCCTTATGTAGCAGAAAATGGAATAATTCATCAAAGCTCTTGTGTTGACACCCCTCAATAAAATGGTGTTGCGGAACGTAAGAATAGACACTTGAAATGGCTCGTGCACTCATAATAATGTTCCTAAATCTTTCTGGGGTGAAGCAGTTCTTACATCTTCCTGTCTGATCAATCGTCTTCCATCTCGCGTCCTTCAGTATCAAACACCTTTAAACATTCTTCGTCAGTTTTATCCTCAATCTTGCCTATTTCATAATATTCCTCTCAAAACTTTCAGGTGTACTGTTTTTGTTCATTCAACCTCCCTTAAGCTAAGCAAACTTGATCCTAGAGCTGTCAAATGTATTTTCTTGGGCTACTCTCCAAATAAAAAAGGGTTTAAGTGTTATTGTCAAAATACACGAAAAGTATACACATCCATGGTTTTTTTTTTTTTTTTCGAAGATCACGCTTACTACCTCAAATCTACCCTTCTGGGGGAGAGTGACAGTGGAAGGCAGCTTTGGGATTTTTCCATTGAGTCAGAGTCTCTTACCCCACCGGTTAAAAGTTGTGTTACCTATTGTGCTATCTAATGATTTGGAAACATGTGGAGAGTCACATGTGCAAAGCACACAAAATGAACCACAAAAGGAATCACAAAAAGAACTTCGTGTTTATTCTAGGCAGGATGGACAATCTCAAAGACAATAGAAGCTTATCACTACTCCAGAGCACTGTCAAGAGCCTGAACCGAAGGTAAACACAAATGATTGAGATAGGTTTTGTCCCTGAGGAATATGGAGTGGAGGAAAGTCAATCAGTTGAGCAAGAGCAGTTTGTCAGTGCTCTTGATGTTCATGAATTGGCTCACCACACTAACAGAAAAATAATTATCTCCAATGTATATATTTATCCCACACAAGACCCGATTGGTTTCTCTGTTAGTGTGGTGAGCCAATTCATGAACAATCCAAATGAAGAACGTATGGAAGCAGTCTATAGGATTCTGAGGTACTTAAAACTAACACTAGGAAAGGGCTTGTACTTCAGGAAAT